AACGTCACCGTGTATCTGGCGAGCATGAGTTCACGCTATGACACCGTATCTCGCGAATCGTATACGGCACGCTGTGCGTTATATTTAAAGCAGCACGCACCACCGCTCGCGATATAGTAAATAGTATAGTCCGCCCACCGACGGTCCGTGTAGCGCGGGTGTGACGACAGTCGGCGAAACGTGGGACGAAGAGAAGAAAACTGTGCGGACTCCCACGCGTGTTGGCAGTTTCCTGAGCGCTAGGCGTTTTCGAGAGCGCAACGAGTGCTCCTTTTCCCCGCGAATCGCTCTTTTCCCTCCCCCTAACCCCCTGCTCGGCATCTTTATCGACATTGGGCGATTGCAAATAAGGCGAACAAGTCATAAATCTGGGGGGGGAAGGGAAGTCTTTCTGTGAATCGTATCTAAATGGTGGATCAAGTTGACGATGGCCAACCAGCGCAATGTTGTTTTACAAGAACTCCCGGGGCGTAACTCTCACTTTTTAACAAGCTTCCGCGCTCATAGTGCTTGAAATACCAAAGCAAATAATCATGGTTTGGGTACATATTTCAGACACTGGACAAAACAATTTTTTGCTTCATTTATTTTGATTCAATAAATAGAGTACTGGTAATAGAAGATTGACGAGGGTTGACTAGAACGTCTTGCAATTCTGTCCTTCACTCTGTCAATGTTTCGAGCTGTAATACGTTGAGAAAAGAGATAACTCAGTGACAAGCTGAGAGAGTTCTGTGTATCAAATTTTTATTCGCTTTCACGTGAAAACATCTCGAATTTCCCCTTGCTTTCACTCGCGGCCAAACAAGAGGACTTTACGCGTCGTTAAAAACAGTAAAATGATCCACGGTATTCCGGTGCTCGTTTCATTAACATAATCCTGCGGTCAACATCCAGTCCGAATTAGGGCTGGGACCATTTGAATAATTTAATATTCAAATGATGCATAGATATTCGAATGCTACGAATAAACTTCGAATATTATTATTCAGATCCTATTATTTGACTATTATTTCCCTAAATAAGTATTCATATATTTGGGTTATTTGAATAACGCGGCTGTTTGAATATTATACATTGTCATACTGGACCACGATGGCGATTCAAATCAATAGTTTGCATATATAGAAATACAGAAATTGTCACATAATTAAATACGCTCCATTTGTTAACACTTTTCTTTTTCGACCAAGTATCTCCTCGCTAATGGTTATTTTCAAATTCCTAGAGAAGCATTGTATATATATTTAATCTAAATCAGCTGCTGATTTTCTGTAATTTATAATTTTCTATCGATAAGTGTATTTGGATAGTCTTAATGTAGGTATATATCCTAATTGGATACTTATCACAGCATTCAATAAATATAGGCTCCATCCACATTTTCCCCCGAATCTCTACATAAATATTGATATTTTAAGAACACCAAACATCATCAAACATTCTCTGAACCGCCAAATTTCGTTTTGCTTTCATCAAGTTATTAATTTCGTCCGCGTGAAATACAAGAACCAACATTTTATGCAAACAGCAAACAAGTGAAAGCAGAAATGTTTGAGTTAGAGCTGTATACGCCTCGATTAATAACGTTTGACCGCGTTTACGAGCCAATAATTTACGCCTGGCGGAGTTTTATTGGTCGCCGCGAATCGAACCGGGCGAAATCGTCTCGAATCGATTGTCCCACTCGTCCCTCAATCCTCGCCTATTCGATCGAAAGCTCGTCCGAGACGTAGGTGCGCTGCCCAAAGGGTAAGAAAGCGAAACGGGGATAAAGGGAGGCGGTGGAAGAGAGACCGCGGGCGATCGCGCATCGAAATGCTCGAGGCGTGGAGCGGGTCGACATGGAAGGCGCACTTGGATGTTAGCGGAAATAAATTATTGCCGCGTTTTCAATTTTTAACCCGTCCCGGCCGTTCTTTTTTTCACGACGTTTGCTCCCTCGACCCGGCCAATCTACGCTCAATCTTCCCGCATTCACCGATCCTCTCCGTATGCGAGCTACGGAGCCACGGTGTTCCGCTGAATTAAACATAAGTCAGCGAGTATAAAATATGCCGCGAACGTTACCGGCAGATATAAAACGCGACTCGGTAGGTGTACGTGCCACGTGCATCGAGGGGGGAATGCGCGCGGAGCTTCTTTTTTCTCTTCTCCCTTCCATCGGAGGGAAAACTTTACGTCCCGCCCGAAAACTCTGAATCCGTCGTCGAGCCGTAGACGTCGGTCGATACGCGTTCCAACCCGCGTTTGCCTTCAAATATTTCAACGAGGGAGGAAAACAGCGGTTATACTAAAAATATATACCTATTGCATTGCGAGAAAGGCGATTCATCGTCGTTCAACAGCGTCAAACATGCTGAAACACCTGTTGTAATAATTGTATGGCAAAGGGAGTTATTCATCGCCGTTCGATATCATCCAACGTGGTCAAACGTCATCAACCACTTCTGTGGGGTTTGAAAAAGAATCGTAATAACTTTATTATAGCGTGACTGAGGGAGTTATGCATCATTCAACATGCTCAAACACTAGTCTCATGGGTCCTGGAAAAGAATCGTAGTGGGTTTATTGTATTGCAAACTGGGGGGACGTATTCGTCGCCATTCAACACCATCCAACATAGTCAAACGTCATCAACCACTCCTGTGGGGCCTGAAAAAGAATGGTAATAACTTTATTATAGCGTGACTGAGGGAGTTACACATCATTCAACATGCTCAAACACTAGTCTCATGCGCCCTGGAAAAGAATCTTAATGAGTTTATTGTATTGCAAACTGGGGGGAGGTATTCGTCGCCATTCAACATCATCCAACATGGTCAAACACCTGTCTCATGGATCCTGAAAAATAATTATAACTAAGGGAGTTACTCATCATCATACAATATCAAACACGTTCCAACACCATCCCCCATACAAAATTTTAAAGTTGAATATTTGTATTTGAAACCTCAAAAACTCCTAAAAACAAGAATCGTAATAACTTTATAGTATCACAAATTGGGGGTTATTCGTCGCCATTCAATATCAACCAACGTGGTCAAACGTCATCAACCACTCCTGTGGGGCCTGAAAAAGAATGGTAATAACTTTATTATAGCGTGGCTGAGGGAGTAACACATCATCCAACATACTCAAACATCTGACCCATGAAAAATAATTATAACTTCATTGTATCACAAACAAAAGCGTTATTCATAATCGTACCACATCAAACACGTTCCAACACCATTCCCATAAAAAATTGTAAAAAAAGAATATTTCTATTTGAAACGTTTAGAAATTATTCGAAGCAATCGCTCGTCGTAGGTCAATAGGTATCAAAAAAATGATCGATCGTTGATCCTAACGTCGACTAATTTGCATTGATGGAATGTCATCTCTTTTCTAACGCGACCAAAGAGCAAATACGGAGTTTCCCGTTACGGTCTAATAATAAGAATCGCCGGTTACGCGTGTCATAGTTGCTCCGTCATTCTCCACCTATCGACGCGTTTATGGCCGCGTAAATTTATCGCCGACCGCGATCGACCGAATTTCTCGCGGCGCGTAACAGCGCCGTTAGACGCCGCGCGAATTTTTAAATGGCCGTTGCGGGATTCGGAAACATCGTCGATCGATTGGCTCTGCCCCGGGGTCGATCGGGCGGGGAACCTAAATGTAAAACCTAATTACGTATGTTCGCTCGATGACCGAACGGCCGTTTCGTCTGCATGCACGACGTGCGTTCAGCGTCGTTTCGCATGCAAAAACCGCGCACGCATTCATTCAACGACGTTTCGCGATCGGGATACGCGCACTTGTTTGTTTCGTTTGCTGTACCGTTGCTCTGCTGGGTATCCTCAATTACACTTGTTAGAACGACTCGTTTATTAGAAACCTTCCTAAAGGATTGATTCACCCTCTTTGTCATTCGAGATATTCAATTCCATACGAGGTTATTAGAGTTAGAAATAAAGCGCCATTTGTTTCTGCGCCACCTAGAGTTATTTTGGCTTACCTTTTTTTTCGTAACCGTGTGTATTTCGTCTATAACGAAGCCTCGTGCTAATTAAGTGTGTTTCGCTGAGGAGAAGTCGAGTTTTGCTCATTTGCATCCCCAAAATTCCCACAATTAGCAATTTATTATTAATTATCTTTACGTGTACAGTGTTACGTGAATGTAAAATACTGTGACGTTCAACTAGCAGAAACTAGGTATAATTGACGCAATATTATCACACTTATGGCTGAGTTGCAAAGGGATGATGCATAGGGAAATGTTTATTATACGAAGAGGAAGCAATCCTCGCTGATGAATTTGTGGATCATGTTAGGTATTTATTAGCATCTTTCTCTGACGAGCTAATGTTTTACACGAAGTCTATTGACCTGGTAAACAGAAATTGGAGAGTTGATTCCATACGAGATTATTAGCAATTTATTATTCAATTATCTTTAAGTACACAGTGTTACGTGGATGTAATATACTGTGACGTTCAACTAGCAGAAACTAGGTATAATTGATGCAATTTTATCACACTTATGGCTGAGTTGCAAAGGGATGATGCATAGGGAAATGTTTATTATACGAAGAGGAAGCAATCCTCGCTGATAAATTTGTGGATCATGTTAGGTATTTATTAGCATCTTTCTCTGACGAGCTAATGTTTTACACGAAGTCTGTTGATCTGGTAAACAGAAACTGGAGAGTTGATTCCATACGAGATTATTAGCAATTTATTATTCAATTATCTTTAAGTACACAGTGTTACGTGGATGTAATATACTGTGACGTTCAACTAGCAGAAACTAGGTATAATTGATGCAATTTTATCACACTTATGGCTGAGTTGCAAAGGGATGATTCACAGAAAAATGTTCCTCGTTGACAAATTTGTGGATCACGTTCAAGCTAATGTTTTACACGAAGTCTGTTGACCTGGTGAACTGAAACTGGATAGTTTAATGTGTTCCAAAAATACTCTATCTAACTTGATTTTTCCTTTCTGTTTCAGGTAAGAGACGAAACTTGAACGTAGTCGAATCCACAGCTAATTGTCAAAGAAATTTTTCATCACAGGTATTTATCGAAGTTATTTAGTATCAAAATCGTGACCCATTATCCACATCGTTGAAACCTGATTTAATCTTGTAATTTCAGTAGTGCAAGAAAATTATTTAATTAACTGCAGTAGAAAATTTGTGTTCAATGAAATCTACCTTTTGATGGTAACTTTTCCAGATTTCGAAATGAAACTTCAGAAATATATTTTAATCTTAATCTTGCAGTTTCAATAGTGCAAGAAAATTATTTAATTAACTGCAGTACAAAATTTGTGTTCAATGAAATCTACCTTTTAATGGTAACTTTTCCAGATTTCAAAATGAAACTAGAAATATATTTTTAGGTAAACTTTCAGATAACGGGAGTCAAGTTTTTGGATTTTTTAAAACTCTGTGCCCTGGTTGACTCTTTAGGAATTCGTCGCGGATTGTCGGCGTTACATGGCCGCTTATTAACGGATAAATTATGTCATAACGGTCTGATCGATGTCCTTTGTGCGAATGGTAATACGCGGGGACCTTTGTGCGCTCCCTGCACGAGTTACGCGACGTTTACGGTGCGCGGTTATGGTAATTAGACGCGAGAATTGTAGCGACGACGTGACAGGTAACTCACCAGGCAATTACAACCGAACAGTTCGGTGTCTTGCGTTGCCATTTCGTCTGCGTGTCATCTATCTACCGTTCTCTTTTCACCCTTTCATTTTCCAATAACTGGAAAGTCACAGGAAAAAGATATTTTCTTCCTATCGGGCTCAATATCAAATGTTACCTCTTCAAATGCACAAGCAATCTTTCTCCAGTATATAAAATAAAACGATAACCATCGAACATAATTTTTAATTTAAAAAAATATCATTATTTTTATTATACACTTTCGCCGCTCGAACATATACGCTTATCGTTTAAACGTTAAGAAAGGAGTACAGACTCTATCTATCTGGTCGCTTAATTACAATCAATTATTTTCACTGACGTAATACTGCGTTTATGGGAGCGTTAAAACGACGATATCGTACGATAATTTTAAATTCACGGTGATGTTGCTCGTCGCGGCGATGGGGGTAAAAAAGCTACGCGATAAACACGATTCTTAAGCGTTTAAACGACACATTAATATTTTAGATAGAGTACGTTTAAAGTAAAACGAGCGGAATATAGTACTGTAATGTGCTCGTTAAAATCAGCGATTTATTCACAGTGTTGTCGTTATTATTATTGGCGCGGTGAAATTTTTCCCACTCCGTCAAGCTTAAAGATTATCGAGTGACTTTTCCGCGAGTAACTAACGATCACTTTGTGCCCACGCTGCTTTGACGTTGCACGGTTGAAATTATTAAATTCGTAACGCGACGGAATTAACGCTACACGCGTTGTTTATGTAACGCGCGGTGCTCGTTTTGTTTTTTTATACAATATTTCCACTACCTTTATTCGCCCGACACAACGTAACTCAGACACCTTATTAAACAACCCGCGACACTCGATTTAACTCGTTCGTATTACGTACGACTCTCGTGGAAGCTTCCTTCTATCAAAATATTAAGTTCTGACAAGAAATGACCCGCGAAAATGAAGTTTACCTCGTCCTTGGGAAACATTTTGTAATTTAAAAATCGAATGTCTCTTCTTGTGCACGAACGAACGATAAATGTTTAATGGACCGTTAAAAACTGCTAGATAAAAATTTCTACCGACGTATGAAAGAAAAATTTCAATTACAGAATGAAATATTTCGCCGCGAGCAAATAAAAATTTAACTGCTCGATCGAATAAACGTCGCGAATAAATTGCTGTTGGTATTTATTGGTTATCTATTACTCGAATAGAATTTTTTACGCCTCCTCGGCACAATACACACGATTCTGAAAGGGGTCGTTGCTTGTATAAGATTTTCAATACCTTCATTCGCGTAGCGCAACGTAATTCAATCGCCTTATTAAGCGTCCCGTGACATTCGATTAAACTCACCCGCCGTTTCCATATGAGAGACTACTATTCAATCATATTTTTCCCTGAAATTATCTCCCTCGTTCTCGCCGTGTATTTTATTAAGTACATGCAAAAGTGTTTTGTCCTTTTTTTTTCTCGTAATAAGACGGGCATATTCGGTCTTAAATTAAACTTCTTTCTTTCGCTAAAATTCTCAAATAATAAATACGCTAAATAATTCGTCTGGTTCGTAAAGCAAGTAACGTTAAATTATGGTTTTATGTCTTGCTCCGTGAACCAGAAGAATCATCCATGTTGCTCGAGAATTATTCAACGAAGGAAATAACTCCCCGTCGTTAATAACAAGCTCATATTTAATACCTTGTTTTTGCTCTACGAGCCAGAATTATTATTTAAGTTCATTACATTAAATGAGCAGCTTTCTCGTGAAAATATAACTGATATCTTTCGCAGATAAATAAGTCGGTTATAATAAATCCAAGCACACGTGTTAAATATTGAAATTAAAAATTAAAGGGGATTAGAATAGAAAACTGAATATGTATCATTGTCCTAGATTTCGTTAAATAGATTAATATTATGTTGATATATCATTTCATACGTGTTAAGTAAAATTTTTCACTGTTCTCTTTGATTTGCTACATCGTCGTCTGTTAATTATAAATCGCTTTTTACAAATTTGTTCGAGACGAGATTAAATATTTTGCATACGTCTCGACAGATTGTTGGTGCTTGTCGGGTCACGGACATTTTTAACGCGCAACGCAGCAGAAAATAACGTAATTCACGCGGCTTATTAAGTACTGCACGCTACTTGCTTGCGGCCACGTGTCCATGCAAGTACACCCACCCAAATCTACTTGCCTACATTCGACGCTCACGAGCACGCTTCCAGTAAGCATTTCGTCCTTGTTTAATAACCGTGATATACCGCTTCCAATTAACCCTTTCATTCCCACTGCAGCCACGGGAACGAAGACATCGAATGAACTATTGCTATCGTCTAGAGTTTCAAATCTGTAACCGCGTTTTAAATACAGACAATATTCTTGTCAACTTTTTACGCGTTACTCGTTGAGTGAGAATAACAATTTAAATTCATTTTTTTAGTCGTTTGTTACTCCACAGAATTTAACCTCTTCAGGGTCGATTTATTTTTTTTTCTTCTTTTGGAATTAACAATTTGAATTGATTTTTTTAGTCGTTTGTTGCTCCACAGAATTTAACCTCTTCAGAGACGATTTTTTTTCCTTTTTTTGGGGTCTATTTATTATTGACAGTAACTATAATTATAAAAAAAAAAAAATTAAACGTTCATATATGTGGCCAAGGGTGTGAATTGATTTTTTTAGTCGTTTGTTACTCCGCAGAATTTAACTTCTTCAGGAAATGTTGCTTTTTTTTCTTTCTTTGGGGTCTATTTATTATTGACAGTAACTATAATTATAAAAAAAAAAAAATTAAACGTTCATATATGTGGCCAAGGGCGTGAAGAGGTTAAGTAACTCCACAGAAAAGAGTCGAGGAGACTCAAATCGATTGTACATATCCATTTTCTCACTTTTAGTTAAATACATTTTATTTCACTTACAATTAGTGAAATATGAGGTTGGGGGAAAAGAAATTCAGTATTTTCATGTTCAAATATGTACCGTGTTGTTTTATAATTTGTTGTCATTCGATTTCGTTCCGTTTGGCCAAGACTACGCAAATGGAAATTCGATCCATGTTTTTCTGTTAATTTTTGTGGAATCTAAACATCGAGCTTCTTTTTTAATCCAGCTTTATGCAAATGGTTTAAAACTGTTTTGTGGTCGACTTTTAGCACCTGGATGGTGCCACAACTACTAACATGTCGGCCTACTTCGAGCATTTCCATGATTTTATCGACATTTTCATTGAAAATACCTGAACAAAATCGACGAAACCAAAAATTGAAATATCTCCTGAACTACTAATTTTTCGACGTTACATAGCTAGTACTTTTTTATAACGATTGTGCAGCTGAATCGATTGATGTATTAAAAAATACCTCATTCCATTTAAAAAAACAAAGTTGACCTTTATATGACCTTTACGCGTCCACTCACGAAAAAACTAATAACATCAGAATATGCTCCACTCGATACCATTCAAGCCTCCGCTGAAACATTTTTTGTTACGAGTAACAATAGCGAGAAAATCAAGATGTCAAAATCGGGTGAGACACCCTGTATATATCACTGCATCTAGGTGAAAAATAATGGATTTCTTTTTCCCCCAACCTAATACAATTATAAATTTTCCAATTCTTAGCTTTCGTGTTCACTACCAAATAATGAAATTTGTTTTTAATATGGTAATAATGCCAAAGATGTTGTTAGATAAATTTTTAAATAGAGTTGTACGAGAATAATATAAATTTCGAGAATGTCATTTTTCCAACGATCACAAATCTCAATTTGTTTGGTCAATACTTTACGATATATGTATCACTGCATCTAGGTGAAAAATAATGGATTTCTTTTTCCCCAACCTAATAGAATTATAAATTTTCCAATTCTTAGCTTTCGTGTTTACTATCAAATAATGAAATCTGTTTATAATGAGATAAATTTTTAAATAGAGTTGTACCAGAATGATATAAATTTGGAGAATGTCATTTTTCCAACGATCACAAATCTCAATTTGTTTTGGTCAATATTTTACGAGATATCACTGCCATCTAGGTGAAAAATAATGGATTTCTTTTTCCCCAATTATAAATTTTCCGATTCTTAGCTTTCGTGTTCACTACTAAATAATGAAACCTATTTTTAATATGGTAATAATGCAAAAAGTGTTGTTAGATAAATTTTTAAATAGAGTTGTACGAGACTAATATAAATTTGGAGAGTTATAGGATCCCAGTGGATGGTTTCGCGTGAATTTTTAGTGATTCGTAAGTGAAAAGGTTGAGAGATATTCCGCGTCGAGAGAGTCGAGAGTGACTTGACAAATACGCTTTGGGGTACCGTTTCTGTCCGCTCGAACATTGGAAGGAATCAATCGCGCACAATGCGCGTTAATGAATACACTGTTTGT